AGCACAAAATTCCCTGTTTTGTTGACCTGAAACATCACCGTTGGTGACTCTGAAGAAAGGGGCTGTGCTTCCTCTGCCGTTATTTCCTAAGCTTGGGCTGAGGTCATTCCGTGGGTTGTGGAGTGATAGTTGCTATAAACACTTCATCACTGTGACAAAAAAACAAACAACATCACAGTTCCTCTGGCGGTTGGGTGTGGGCGAGCCCCAACGCCCTGGGTAGGGAAGCAGAAGAGATTTTGGCAAAGACATAAAACAGGATGGGTTTAGAAACTTAACTGCTGCTGCTCCCCATCCCGATTTTGTGACTTTCTGTACAGAAGAGAAAAGGGGAGGGGAGCAGAAGAGGGGCTGCGGGGCCCTTCAGCCGTGGGGGCACAGTGCAGGCAGGAGTGGCCAGTGAGGGTGATCTGACCCCATGTCCTCCTCTTGGCACAGACTGACAGACCTTAATCTGAAGCAGGGTACAGATGTTTCTCTGTGCCTGCAGCTGGCAAGGGAGGTAGCTCAGGCTGGAAGTCCTACAGCAGGGTTCTCCTCAGGGTCATGCTGAGGGAGGCAGCGGGCTCGGCCCCTCGACAGGGCTGTGTTTTGGCAGTGTGGCTGCAGCCTTGAGGTCACATCTGGACTACCATGTGCTGGGTGCCCGGGTCAATGCTACTTTGCTGGGGCACCAACGGGGCCACTCACCCTCTCCTGCCAGCGCTGATGGGGACACTGATGTGATGTTTCTACCACTTCCCTTGAGGTGGTTTGTGTAGCCTCTGGCTGGGGCAGAGTGGCACAGGGGCTGTGGCTGCAGGAGCTTCCTGCTCTTTGCTGTGCAGAGCTCACGAGGATGAAGCTGGGCTCGAGCTGGGTGGTATCCAGTGCTCCACTGCTTTGGGGATTTTTAAGGCTGATTTGTGTTAAGCTCAAAGAGCTCTGACATATTTTAGGTCAAAAAAAGTGTCTGCCCATCTCCTAATGCCTCAGAAATCTGCCTTCTTATGCAGCCAGTGTGGTAAGAGGGGCTGTGCAGCGGATGTCAGGCAGCAGGAACTCTGGCAGATCATGTGGGGAGAAGGGACTTCCCATCCAGCTCCGCAGTAGTGGTTTGGGGAACCCCCATCTCAGCAACGGAAACAGCTCTGCAGAGGTGAAAAAGGGGGGGTCAAACCTTCTTCCTGATGGGGAACAACACCTCCAGCAAACACTGAAGATACTGAAGTCAGGGGCACTCTGGGTATGACAGCCGGGGGTGTAACAAGAAGTGAATGGGACCATGAACTGAGGTACTGGAAACTGAGGTCTAGCTAGGGAGCAAGAAGAGGAGGGCACACGCTGCTGTGTGCCACCCCTTCCTACTGCTGGTGATCCAGTGCTGGAGAGCAGCTGGGTGCAGAAAGCTCTGGTGGTGTTTATCAGGTCCTGGGTGGCTTGCCCAAGCAAGGAGTAGGAGAAGAAAAGTTGACATCAGGCACCTAGAGGTGAATTTTGCTTTCACATCTCTTGTGTTATTTTCAATGAAACAGGGAGAGTTTCCAAGAGGGAAGGGTGCAAGGACTTCCCTCTGAAGCCTCTGTCTTCTTTTGGTGAGTCTTGTGTTAAAGGCCCTGGGGGAGGAGGTCAGAGGGAGTTTCCCTCTGTGCAGGGGAGCTTGGCTATTAGAGTAAAAAGGGTGAAACTCCAGATAAGAGAGTTGCTGAGACCTCAGACCACTTTTCTAATCGTTCCCAATTCACTTATACTGAAAGCCCTGCATAAGAGCCAGCGCCTGAAATACCAACACTTTTTTCTTAACCATCCAGCTGCTGGGAGCTGACCTTGAATTTTGGTGCTACAGCCCACACACAGGCTTTGCTGCTGACTAAATGCCTGTGTCCAGGAATACCTGCACCAGAGCATTTGTGGAGTCATGTCAGCATTGCTGCAGCCCATCTATGCAGGCAGTCCATCTTCACAGCCCTGTGCTTGCTTGGCTCCTTTCTGCCAGCACCATGCCATGCTGCCAGGTCATGCCTTTTCTCACTCTGCTTAACCTGATGTCGCAGTGAGGGAAGAACAAGTGTGTATAAAAGGGCCAGGAGGGCGCGGGGAAAGGAGCTGGAAATGTTTGCAGCAGAAAGTGGTGCAGCCTGCCTGACCTGCTCAGGGTGTGAAATGCTCCGGCCACCCAAGGCCTCCCTCGAGCAGGCAGGGAGGGAAGCTGTGCTCTGCTCTGACAGCTGCTCAGCAGATACCACACCGCAGGAAGGAGAGGGAAAGGAGAGGGGAAGGAGAAAGGTGAGGAACTCTGGCCACCCGAGCTGGTGGTGGAGCGTGGGAAGTGCTGATGCCTGGATTGGAGGCCTGGCCAGGAGACAGACTGGCTTCCACCCACGCCTTCATGGAGATAAAAGCATTGAGAAAAAACCCCAAAAGACCAAAGAAGTTGTTTTTGCAGGAGGAGAGCTCACACCTTGCCCTTGGCAGAGCGGGCTGAGGTGACATCAGGGAGCAAGCAGGGATGGCTGCTATCGCGTACGATCGGCATGAGGCAATGGGATGGGGCCGCCGTCACCACCTCTGGCAGCCCTGTGCACGCAGCAGGGCCCTGTGTGGTGGCAAGTTGCCATGGCACGGGTGCAAACAGGCGCCCCTGGCTCCACTGAGTCACCCAGCACGGAAATGACCGCAGCTGACACATCGCACCGAAAATGGCCGGCTGTGTGGCACCACGCGGGCCCAGGAACCCAGAGACCTTTCCCAGCTAAAGCATCCCTGCCCCTGGACTTTCCCTTCCCATTGTTGTCCTCACTGCCATGCTTGCCCTGAATCTGCCTCAGCGCCTGGGAGCCAGGGAGCAGCTGATAAGTCAGCTCTGTCCTGCTTCCTTTCTATAGAGAGGGTCCTGGGGGCTTCCAATCTCCACAATGACATCAGGGTTGTGTGCTGATGTCAGACAGCCATTTCTGGTTTCCATCTGCCAGGACACTATTGCTTGGGAGAGGGGATGTGAGGGTGGCCTGGATGCAGCAGGGCTCTGCTGCCAGCCAGGTGCTATCGCCAGCCCTGCTGGGACAGCACACTGGGGGCTGTCACCTCCATTGTCTGTCCATAGCACACGGTCCATCTCTGCAGCAGGAAACCATTGCCTTTCCATGGCCTCTCCCACGCTGGGAACATGGCCTGGCAGCTGGCAGAGCAGATAAGTGGAGTCTCGTGGGCCGGCACCGAGCACCTGCTGTGCTGCTGGGATGCTGCAGCCTGGGGTGCTCTGCCTGGCCTCCAACCCGCCCGTGGCCGAGTGCCAGCCCTGCACAGCGCCAGTCCTGGGCCAGCTGTGCCCACGGGGCTGCGTGCCGGGGGAGCCGCGGCACAAGGGAGCGGGGGATGCCGGCCAGCAGGGCAGCCAGCCCTGTGCTGGGTGCCATGGAGTTGGTTTGGCCAGCGGGATGGAGAGGTGGCACGGGGGTTCTCGGTGTGCTGGGATGGCGTGAATTCCAGCTGCTGAGTGGTGATATTCGCTGGCCTGGGGGTTGCCTGGGGGACAGGAGCCCAGAGGAGGAGTGATGGACAGAACTACTCACTGTGCACTGGGCGATGCAGGAGAGCCCTTGTCTCGGCAGCTGCCCTGAGGAGAAAAGGCCTAGACAGAGGAATGTGTGTGGGGACAGGGATAGCTTTGAGCTGAGTTTATGGAGTGGTCAAGAAAACACAGGAAATTGGCTGCAGCTGAAGGTCCTCCTGCCTGGAGACTGCAGCAGAGACGGGAAAATAGACAAGCGATGTGTCATGGAGGGAGCAGACAGCGCTCGATAGCAGCAAGGCATGGAAAGCCAAGAAGGATGCCAAAGACAGCAGAGGATTGTCCTGGTTCGATAAGGCTCTGGGCAATAAAAAGGGACTTTATGGGCTGTTGGAAACCAAAGGAAAGGAACCATGTGGAAATGCCAAGCCTGTTAGGAAGCAGAGCAAAGAAGTGGATACAGATTGCTGAGCTAGAACTGGACAAGGGATAAGGAAAATGCTTTCCAGATCATTAGGAAAGGAGGATGTGAGACAACAGCTGCTAGAGAAGATATTTTAAAAATCCTTAAGCCTGGATAACTCACACCCAGGGGTCCTTCCAGGGCTGGCTGGAGCAGGAGCCAGGATCCACAGGATGGGGAGAGCGCTAAAACAGCGCTCAGCACTGGAAAGGAGTGGGAGGCAGGAGAGTAGCAACCAGAGGGAAGGAGTGCAAGCACAGTTCACGTTGGTTCGAGGACCCTTTGGACCACTGCGATTTCTCTCCTCATTGCAAACAGCCATTTGGCTGCAAGAGCCTGTTCTGTAGCGGGAAGGAATTTCACGTGTTTGTTTCATGTTGGAAAAATAAAGGCATCATGCTAGATCCACAATGAGCATATTAAATGGGCTGTGAGCTGGGGAACTGGCCAAGAAACCATCATGGTTTCTGCTGGAAACCATGATGCTGGGGGCTTCCAGCAGGTCTCATGTCCAGGCACAGGCAGGATCCCGCGGTGCTGGCGGAGCAGAGCCGTGCCCCTGGCACAGACCAGCTGTGCTCCCTCTGTAAACGCACGGCAGGAATCCATCTCTGTGCCAGGTTCGGGTTCTGTAGATCCTGCTCATGGGCAGACCTCTCTGGAACTCAGGCTTCTGGCACAGAGCAGCTCCGTTTCTCCTCCCCCATGGCCCCCCAGGGATGAATCCCTGGGATCGCTGCCTGTCGGGGTGAAACGCCTGGGGACCCGAGCTGGCCGCAGCGC